CAGATGCAAGAGAAGACTTGCTTGAGGTTCCCAATTGCGATGGTCCATCAGCAGGTTTAAGTTATATTGACTCTCAAGAACCTGGGGAGCTATCACAAGCTAATGCACTTAATTTCGTGGAAAGATTTGTAAATGATAATTTGATGGAACTTGATGATGAAATTGATTTGGGAAAGAATATGGGGCGGAACTCGAAACTTATCTCATGTGCAAAAGGGCCACAAAGTTTGGCCAAGAAAACTATCGAAAGAAGCAATGCTGGTGATGCGGGGAATTTTGAATGGGATAACTTTCTGGAGGATGATGGAGGGGGTGATATTTATCGTAGAATGAAGGAAGAATTCTATGGTAATAGAAGCCATTCATGGAAATCTTCTACCCGCCCCCAGAAGCATAAAGGAAGGAAACTAGATGAATCTTGTAATGGAGACCAACCGAAGTCTGCTGATAAAATGACAGTTCATTCTGATTCAAAATTACTTTTGTGCAAGTCGAAAGATAATGACAAGAAAGAACGAGAAGGTCAAATGAATTTTAGAAAAAATCTTTCCAATGAGTTAGATGAACAGTTTAATTCGGATTCCTCAAGAGGGCAATTGGAAGCCACCGGGACAAAGATAGGTGCTGCTGAAGAACTAAATGATGTAGGTTTTGACACGCAGATGGCTGCTGAAGCTATAGAAGCCTTATTCTATGGGGAGGCCGCTACTGACCCGAAAGCTAATCAAGGTGTCCAAAGCATATCCAAGGGCGGCTCCTCTAAACGTTCATTTAGGGGAAAAACTGGGAAGAAAATTTCTTCCAAGTCAAGAAAGGGTGTTTCTTGTTCTGTTGTAGCTCGACTTACGAAACGATCCAAGAGAACTAAGCCAAGCGAAGAGTCTTCAGATTTGATGGAGAAACACTCCAAGAGTGTAGGGAAGGATTGTGACATGGAGTTGCTTCTGCCAAAATCGAAGAAAGCTAAACTTCGTGGTGGTGGATCAATAAGGAGGCAACATCCTGAAGAGGTTCATACTGCTACATCCATTGCTCATAGAACTGGGCAGTCAGTCAAAAACATGCAAATGGATGAGACTCTAGTAAGTGATAGTAGGAAAGGTAGAAAATGGATCAAAGAAGCTGGTTTCCTTCAAGAAAATAGATCTGGGACTACGGATGTTGAGCTTTCTGAAGTGTCAAATGCTACAGGTCGACTTTCTATATTGCATTCCAATCAATCCGAAGGACATGGAAATGGAAATGTTAAATTAAGTATTGATGTTCATCTGGAGCTGATTGCGAGAAGTACTGGCTATCATGTAACTTGCTATCCGAAACGAAGAAGATCCTCCCAGAAAAAGCCTGTTGATCTTGGTGTGTCTGACAAAAGGGAGGAACAGTCCCGAAAACCTGTTCAGTCAGATGACAATGGACGTCTGATTGCTGTGCCGAAAAGGTCGAGAGGAAGCAATAAAAACACATGCATTCCATCATCCACTAGGAGGACTACACAATCATTTGTTAATACTTGTTGGCTTTCGCATTTTGCAAACCAGAATTTCGAAGGAAAATTCTCTAATCAAAGTTCCGATAAACAGGTTTCAGGTGATGATGATATCAATTTTAATCTTACCAAGAAGAATGGCAGGGTGATATCTAAGAGAAAAATTGGGCCCGAGGCAGCTAAACCAATCAAGCACGCTGGTGGAAATCCTGATACAATATCTTCGTCAGATGCTGAAAATTTAGCTGTGGATGTTGCTTCTGATAAATCACCAAAAGAGAAATTAAGGTCACCTGGTTCTCTATGCACTACGCCAGCTAACCGTTCAACACCAATCAATACCACATCGCCTGTTTGTATGGGTGAAGAATACTTTAAACAGCCATGCCGGAAGAACCTATTAAAATCTTCACTTATTAAAGAACTCAGAAGCTTATGCCCGATCGAGCCTGAACCTATTTCCCCTTTGAAAGATACGAGGAAGAGAAAGGATTTAGCTGATGTTCGAGTCTTGTTCAGTAACCACCTAGACGAGGACATACTTAAACAGCAGAAAAAGGTATTAGTTATTTTGTAATTTCAATCGCTCTCTAAAGGTATAAAAGCTTGTTTAGCTAAATCTTATTCCTCGATTTTTTAAGCAGATCTTGGCTCGCCTAAGTATCTCCGAGGCATCATCTATTTCGGATGCGACACATTTTGTAACTGATAATTTTGTGCGCACCAGGAATATGTTGGAAGCAATTGCTTCTGGCAAACCAGTTGTCACACATTTATGGCTTGAAAGCATCGGACAAGTTAATAATCACATCGATGAAGAAGCTTATGTATTGAGGGATATCAAAAAAGAGAAAGAGCTTGGCTTTTGCATGCTAGTTTCTTTAGCACGTGCACGCAAGCGACCGTTACTACAGGTAAATTTTTTTATATTTACCTATTGCCTTGGCCGCTTGTTCCATCTCGATTTTCACAATATAGTAGAAGTTATGCAGGGTCAAAGAGTTTTAATCACCCCAAATACGAAGCCTGGTAAAGAAACAATCTCACGTTTGGTGACTGCAGTTCACGGTCAGGTATATGGTTGGTTCCCTTCAAAATTCTCTCTAAAATACATATGTATGGATGTTTTGTCATGAAAAATCATTTCCCTTTTTATGTTATCTGGATCAACAATTCCAGGTAGTTGAGAGAATTGGCAGATCTGCTATGGAGGATGACAAATTCCCAGATGATTTGTTGGTTCTATCGTGTGAAGAAGATTTTGAATTTTCTGTTTGTTTCCTCGAAATAGGTAATAAGAGTTTGTAAATGAGCTCCTTCATGGCTTTTCGGCAAAATTCAGTTTTTATTCGAACGTTTTGCCGTTACGCTTTCAGGGGCAGAGATTTACAGTTCAGAGTTGCTATTAAATGGAATAGTTACTCAGAAGCTGGATTATGAAAGGTTCGTACCATATCATCATGAAAACATCATTCTCCCGGTTGCTTTTGTTACAACGGAGCACGACTCGACTATATTGCTCCGATTTTTCTTTTTTTCTTCTTTAAAGTACTCGTGTTCAATTTATAAATCTAGACATGGGTACGAGGATTTGAACCCTTTGAAAACCTTTCAAATTCACGAAAAAACTTCTTTTTGAAAAAAAACATACATGTGTACCATGTCTGAAACTCAATTTACTCCGAGCAACATATGTCAACCATGCACATTGGATGAAAAGTTCTTTATGCAGACCCAAAATTTTGTACCATTGTGTTGGTTATTTTATCAGATGATTGGTTCTTCATTTTTCTGCATTGGCTAAGATATGATGAACAATTTGCTTTCCTATCATATATATATATATATATATATGTATATACTTGTAGGCATCGTCTCTTTGAAGATCATGTTCGACGAACCCGATCAACCGTATGGCTGAAGAAAGATGTCACACACCAAGAGCCCACGGCCGCACGTTCCGAGGCGTCGAAGTTCCAAGGGTGTGACAAAGACAATAAGTTCCTCCTCGTGACAGAAGTGTAAATGAAGGTTCCTGTTTTCTTCTTTTTAAGTTTCATCTGAATTTTTCTCCGGTACAGTTTTGGTAGGCATTGAATTTGGAACATGGTTATCTGCAGTAGGGATTTAGATAGTGATTCGCTATCGGAATAGCAGCCACTATATAATGGTAAAAATACCGCCCAAAACTATTATTTCACGATCGCGATACCCATATTGACTGCAATAGCACATGCAATACTACTGAAAATACGACCATAATCACAATTTAAATCCTGATCTGCTGTCTTGGAATCAGTTAGCTGTATATGGTAAATGCTTGTTTCACTCTCTACCCCCCCCCCCCACTGCCCGTAATTAGCTATTATTTTTTACGATAAGAAATTATATTATCAATTTGTATCTACTAATAATATTACCGATTATTAAAATAGATTAAATTTTAAATCTTAACAAAGTACAATGGTTAAAATAATATTTAAATTCATCAACAATATCAATAACTATTAAAAATTGACAATAAATAATTAAATTAACATTTATATCTTTAAAAAATCTAACTCATTATCATTGCCACTTAATTCAAGTGACTTAATACAGTTGGTTATCCATTATTTTTTAAAATGAAAAATGTATTAATCTTTCTTTTCTTTTTTTTAATACATTTTTAACATAATCTTTTTATTCATGTGGTAAAATCTGCCATGTTTTTTTAAAGAAATTAGGGTAAAGTACATAAATGGTCCTTCAACTCTAGGGCATTACTTTATTGAGTCATCTTACTAATAAAAAGTTATAAAATGATCCCATGACTATAGGTAGTACTTTGTTGAGTCCTTTGACTATTAAAAGTTACAAAATAATCACCTAACTATTCATATGTTTTAAATTCATCCTCTTTTGTTCAAAAAAATGACGGTCATTTGAGTTGGATGTTAACATGTTGATTAAGATATGATAAAATCTGATCCTAGAATTATTTATATTGTATAGTCTTTGAGATCTAGTAATGTCCTAGAGTTGACGATCACCTGTTGACTGTGATATGATCCCATGATTATAGGTTATTGCTTTGTTGAGTCATTTGACTATTAAAAGTTATAAAATAATCATCTAACTATTTATATGTTTTAAACGCGTCCTTTTTCATTCAAGAACGACGGTCATATGAGTTGGATGTTAATTTGTTAACTGAGATATGATAAAATCTAATCTTAGAATCGTTTATATTGTATAGTCGTTTGAGATTTTGAGATCATATTTTATCATATCACAGCTAATAGGTTAACGTTCAGTTCGGACGATCGTTAACTTTTAACACAAAATGACAAGTCTGAAACATATGAATAGTTAGATTATCATTTTGTAACTTTTAACAATTTGAGAAACTAAAAAAATAATATCATATAGTCGAGAGATCATTTGTATACTTCACCCAAAAAATTAATACATTTATTTTTTCAATATGTAAAACTTGAAAACCTTTTTTTTTCGTTTCTCTTTCCGTTCTCTACACTGCGAATCCAAGAGCCAGCCGCCCACCCATCAGTTCATTTTGTATCGCCGAAAAGGGCTCAATCGTCGCCGCCGGAGGCTAGCGAGACGACTTGTCCGGTTGAAGGGAAACCTCAGTTCGCAATTCCTGGTTTCCGGCCTCACTCCTGTTTTATCCTCTTTCTCAAGCTACTCGAGGTAACTTCATTTTTTTCTTTGTTTTTTTTGAAGTTTTAGCTAAGTAATAAATATCAGTGCTCATAGTTTATATTTCTCTACTTAGTACATTTTAGCTTGATCAGAGTTTTGATTCTATCGTTAATGTTCTAACTAAGCAATATATATATATATATTTGCAGCTAAAAGAAAAATGGCAATAAAGTTTCTTGATTGGTACTTAAAGATTGCATTTGGGTCGGCTCTAATTGGAGGTTCCATGGAGTTATTCATGATCAAGACTGGCTTCTGTGTGAGAACTCTCCATTTTCTCTCCCTATCGTTTATTTAAATTGATTCATTTCAGCATTTTATGATTTTATTCTTCAAAACCTAAAAATTGTAGTCATTGATTTTCCCTTTCTTTGGTTGCCTGTTAATTTGATACATATCTTTAAATTTCATAAGATATTAGTTATGTTACTGATACTTAGCGATATGTGTGACAGATACGAGTATGTATCCAACTCGAGTATGTTCAATTCGTCTCTTTCAAGTTTCTTTCGTATATTTAGAGAATTTTATCCCCATTCGGATACCGTACTTAAAGAAAAATGATGGAGCAAAGTTGTATATTAGTACCATATTATTGTTGTTAATTGCTGGATTTTTCTTGGAGTTATTTTGATTGTCTCAAGTCTTAATGCTAATCAAATTAAACTTTTAAGCTCTAGGGTGATTTTATTTTCAACATTTTCAAAATTTTCTCGTTGTTATGTACTGTTAGTTTTAAAATCTAGGTCATATAATGGATACGAAAGCCGGTTGCATACACAGGATCTGATATTCTTGTTTCTAAGTGCTAATTTCCCATATTTATGTTAAGAGTAGGTTAATTTCAGTCTTAATAATTTAAAGTAATGTCTTACTGCTATTAGTCTATGACTGTATGATTAGTGACAAAAAAACATTGGTGAAAGTTAGTTTCAATGGATGCTTAATGATGGGTTGAAAGAGATTTGGTTTGATCTGTTATCTGCAATCCTTGGTAAATGCAAAGGGAGATGAGTAAGATATCTAACTATTTCGAGGAAAGATTATAGCCCAAGTATAGCTATGATATAGTTGTATTTACGATTTCTAATGTTCGTCGAGTCAGTCACCACGTTTTTGCATGTAGCTCTTGATTGAACCGTTGCCATTTTTATGTTGTAGATGACAAAGTGACTGTTCTAGAGTCTGAGAAGCGAGCTTGGGAGAATTCCCCTGAAGCTCAGGCGATGAGAGAAGCTCTTAATCCTTGGAAAAATCACGATGCACAAGAAAGAAAAAGTTCCTAATGGAGTCACATATGATTTGTTTTGAATAGTAGTCGTCGCGGCACGAAGTTCGGTGAGTAACTAATTACATTTTCTGGCATCAAGAACTAACCGATCCTTCCGAGCTTCGAGGCCTGGTTGGACATTATTCCGGTTAGATACTTTCTTGCCACCTGTCTTGTAGATTATTTATTGATAGGCCGAATTTCGGAATGAATACAGTCATGAAACTTGATTTATGTTTCATTTTCTTCATCTTTGTTCATGTGATCAGCATCCTAAGAGGCACATTCCTCACTCATATTTGAACATGGGTATAGGAATATGAACTTCCAAAGATACATGAAACTTGTAAAATTTGAACATATCTGTGTTGGACACTGCTGTGATCCCTTATTTGCGATCGTGTCACTGGACAATTAAAGGTACTTTGGAAGCAATTGCCTTCCATTTATCGGTATTCTCATCAAAGGTAGACTGAAACATTTAGCTCATCAGAACTCACCCATAAGTCCGAGTAACATAGGTTTTCTAGTGAAGACTGAAGAGCATCAACGGAAAGAAAGAGCATTAGAGCATTACTATATTCAAGAACAATACTTTGAGCAAGTGAGTTTACAATGCCATTCATTTACTATGAGACAGTTTATGATAGATTTCTGTGCTCCATTTGGTTCATATCCGTTTCACGGTTTATGTTCATAGTTGCTCGTCCGATCCTTGAGGCTCGCGAGTTACATGAAGTTTCTCGAATTATCGTGAATATTCTAGAAGGTCTTAGAAGACAAAATCTACTACCTCTACTTTCTAGCAGCCTAGTTAGATAGTCCAGCATTAATAGTTACCGGCCAGTGACTGACAATGGCAACATGATCATGTTATAGTGTTGAGCAAGAATTGCTTCAAGGCTGAGTTTTTTCATAAGTAATTCAATTTGTTTCATTTGTTCATACTCATCTACCACTTGTCATTTCTCAACATGAATTGCCATACTCATCTACACTTTTAGTACTCAATTATCACTTTTGTTCTGATTTGGTCATCCAACTAATTTAAAAAAAAAATCATACATAACGTTTAGTTTTGTTTCATTTTGACCACCCGTCGTTAAAAAAAATAGTAATGCCCATGTGTTACAATAAGGTAATGCTATGTTATCACTGAAAAAAATCAAAATAGTTGGGTGACTAAAATGAAATCAAAATGTAATATATTAGATATGATTTTGAAAAAAATAGTTGGGTGATCAGAATAAACAAAAGTAATAATTAAAGTATTAAAAGTGCAGTTTACCATATATTTATTTAATATGTCGTTATATTTTAATTGAGAAATAAAAAATACATTTTATAAAATACGCTTTATTATTAGATCATACTATTATTTTGGATGGTTATAATTTATAAGGTAAAGTATACAAATTGTCTCTTGATTATAGATATTGTTTTGTTGAATCTTTCAAAGTTATAAACTGGTTTTCAAATTATCTGATATTATTTTTTTGAGTCTATCGATTATTAAAAATTATAAAATAATCACTTGATTATTTATATATTTCAAACTCATTTTTTGTTAAAAAAATGATAGTCGTTTGAGCTGGACGTTAATCTATTAATTAGGAAATTAATAAATATATATATTAATAGTGTCTATTGATATAGTTGTTACTTTTTAATATTGACTTAATGACATAATATTTAAAGTATTAATTTGACGACATAATGTAAACGAAAATTTAATCACAAAATACATTTCAAATAGGGAATTAAAATAAACTCTCTGAACATTATGGTTGTCCTGTTCGTCGGTCGAACCCAGAAGCTGATATGTTGGTATTTAAGGCCACTTTTATTCTTGTATTTCTATATATATATATATATATATATATATATATATATTTGATTAATCTGGAATACATAGGGGTGACAATCGTGTGGGGGAAAAAACTAAAACTATTAGGATTCGAACTGACGGGAATGATGAATAATTAAAATCTTTACATACAGGGATAGAGGAAGTTTTATCTCCGAAGCTCAAATGGAGATAGGGACGAGGATTGTTATATCCGAACCATGGGAATAACCAAACTATACCTGTATGAATAACCGTGAGGATCCCCGAAAAATTTCCGTAAGAATCCCTGATATTTTACAAAATTTTAAAAATATATTTATAATCATTTACCTATATACATTTAATATATATTTTAATAAAAAATATATACAATAAAATTGTGAGATTACGTGTTGTCGTTACATTTCAAATGAACTAAAATTGAAGTTTAGATATTTTCTCATTTAATATATATTGATTTGTTTAGATTGAAAATGATTAAGATTGTACATATACATTGTGTATTAGATGAATATTGACGTTTGAAACTTTCATAGTATAGATAGATACCAATTTGAGACAATCTGATATATCTTATAAGTTTTAAGTGTTACATTGATTTAAAAAAAATTGTTTATATTTTGGGATGAGGATTAAACGAAACCTGCAGGGATCCATAAGGGATAGGCATGAGACAAAAAATCTCTGAAACTTATTATAGAGATTCTCCAAAACTATACCCGCAAGTGTTTGCACGGATTGAGTAATGCAAAACCGTCCTTGCTCTGTCTGCCACCCCTAAGGGTGCGTTTGGTTCACGGAATGTAAGATTACTAGTGGGAATGTAAGATTACCAGAGAATAGGATTACTGGGAATATTGTATTTTGTGTTTGGTTGGTTTAGCAGGAATGTAAGATTACCGTGTTTGGTTAAAGGAATAAAAGATTATTATAATGTATATTTGATCAAATTATCCTTATTATATATTTGTTTTTTTAACAAGTTGAAAAATATTTATATATTTTCTTTAAAAAATTTAAATTCATAAAATTTATATAATTTTTTTATAAAATTGAAAATATAAAAAGGTTTAATGAAAGGGTAAAATTTTATTTTACCCCTGAACTTCATATAAAATTTTAATTATAGATTTTTTTGTAAATCTAAAATAGTTTAAGGATAAATTTGTAATTTAACCTTCGTAGAATTTTTATTATTCAATGACAGAATAATGATATTTTTGAAAGGAAAAAAAATTAAGGACATTTTAGTCCAAAACGCCGGTAATCCAACAATACCTAAGGAAAGGGAGGTAATGACATTCCCAGTAATATACCTAAAAAATCTACTATTGGTAATGTAAGATTACCGGGAATAACATTCCCGGCCAACCAAACGGAGGAATGTGAATTTCATTCCCATGGGAATCTCACATTCCTCCAACCAAACACACCCTAAGAATACAAGATGATAACCGTTCGAAGATAACTAGGTTGGTAAACCTTAGTTAGTGGTCTTAATCAGGTCTCCAAATTAGGAGTTGGTTTCGGTTAATTCCATTTTTTTGATTAAATCGATAATAATATTGGTTCAATCAATTTATTTTATTATCCGTAGAATTAATTATCTCAATCAACTTAATATATATTAATTTTATTTATTTAAAGTATATTTTTTTAATTTTTTACTTCAAAATTTTATTAATTCACCATTTGATTATTAAATCTAATAGGTTTTTAAATCGATCTATATCACATGTAACATGTCATATCACGATAATTTCCGGTGATATTTCTAAAATAATTAAATTTTAGGATAAATTACGTATTTAGTGTTTAAACTATCAATTTTATCCGTTTTAGTACATAACTTTCAAAATTGGTTAAAAGACATAGTTAATTTAATTTTTCACATCGGTGATTTAACGATTTGGTTTCTTAGTTCGAGAGTTAAAAGACTTAATTAATTTTTCAAAAGTTTAAGAACTTCATTCACATGTTAACATTATTTATTTTTATTTTAATTTGATTATGACCATGAAAAATGTTTAATTCAATTCTTATATAAAATAATTAATTAAATCAACCAAAAAATTAACCCTTTGTTCACTCGTGAGCATTCATGCTTGAGTCATCCTAGCATCATACCCAGGTCTTATTACTACAAGGTTCCAGATGAATTAGAAGATTAAGCAGAGAAATTGACACGTTTCAATGTGATTAATTAGTGACTTAATCTTGTTTATGGACATAGTCAATCCAATATCTTATCTTTAATTTGATGTCATTTCTTCACTCATTAATTTTTTTTTTTGGTCAATGATTCGATCTTCAATTATTTCTTAATAAAATACGAATCGGGTGATCTTAGTGATTAAAAATATAATTGTTAATCCCGGATGTTCCAGGTTTGAGCACAACTTATGCAAAGATATTTAAATATTTATTGTCTAACGATTAAAAATATCTTAAACAGATAGTACCATGTACTCATCCCAAATGGATAAAATTTGACAAAGTATGTATAAAATAAAACTATAACAGTTATTGTTTAAGAATAGAATTTTAAATTTTGAAAAATACATGGACTGAATTCGCAATTTACGTATAGTACAACTACTAATAAAAGAATTTTACCTCAACAAAAGTGTAGTTTCAAGTATGCTTATTATAAATACTAAATGGATTAAACGGTCTGAAACACCATAACTTATAACTCTCAATACAACAGTACTACATACATGGACCACAAGAATGGATTAGTCGATGTTTCTCGTTTCTTCCTCTTCGAGCATAGCGGCGACTCCGAGCTCGATTCCGAATCACCGATGGATATAACTATGGCTACGGCGGTTATCGGCGGCGACGAAGATGATGCGGAATCATGTAGCTGCGACATGATCGGTACCGAGAGACACGACGACTTTTACGGAGCAATCCTTCGACTTCTCGATGATGACGGTGATGAAGATTTGATTGGTTGCAACGATGAAGATCGAGTCGAGGAAGAACCCGATTCGGGTATCGATTTGTGTGGAGAAGCAATGGATAGAATGGAAGATAGGCTGTTCTGGGAGACTTGCATGGCAGTTGGATACCCTTGGGTTTGAAAATTTTTCCTTCTTGATTTTCTTTCTTTCCAAACAGGCCCGTTTCCATCCGTATTAAATTTGTGTTGAGATATGTAATAAATATATTTTATTGGACTATACGATGATATACCCATTTTATAAATTTGTCCATGATTTTTTTATAACTTATCTAACTGAAAATTCTAGTGATAAATTTATAATTGGTTAAAGTAAACTATTCTAACTGAAAATTTACCTTTAGTTAAGTGACCATCAAAATAGTTTACCCTAAAGATATTTGTAAGGATGAATCATCAGTTTCCCCCGGCTTTATTCAATAAATTCATATTTCTAGCTCTAT